AATATCCCATTTTCCGGGATTAATGCCATTTGCTCCCTGCCAGCCGGGCTCCTCCTCAACCCGGGGGTGACGCCAACTTTCCTGGGTTTATTTTAGGGAACGCCGCCCTTTTTCCAAAATCCGGGATGACTTTTGGGAAGGCGCTGGAGGGGTTGGGGAGGTTTAACCCCTCTGGCACTGAGCTGGTGGATTTTTGGGAAGAAAAGCTGAATATCCAAGGAAAACTCAGCACAAGGCTCCTCCAATCCATTTTTCCTGCTTCCCAAAGGCCCATTTTCCTTGGAAGCACGGTGCCGACTCCGGCTGTCACATCCCATTCCCTGGCTGCCGTTAAAGCCGTGCCAAACGCTTAGTCCCGCTTAAATAAAAAATCAAATCCCAGCGCAGCTTTCCAGGAGGAAAAGCTCCGGATTCAGCAAAATTCCACCACTCCAGATGGGGCCAGCCGGGAATTCTTCACCCTCGGAGCCTTCCCGGGTTAACAAGGACAGGCAGCGTCATACTCCGACTGTAAATTGTCCTGGAATGTCATAAATAAGGCATGGCCGGAGCCGGGAAGGGAGCAGGAAGGAATTTGCTACGTTCCCAGGAACAACTGGAGCTGCTGAATTTTTCATGGACAAGATGTCGCAAAGTGCCGCCGGTCGGGGCGCGTCCGCTTCTCGCGGATCCGGAGGTGCCGTCCCTGGAATCTGCAGGAGCGCTCCTGGATTTTTCCAGGGGGGTTTGCACCCCTTCAGATCCCATCTCAAGGGGCAAAACGTCTGCTCTCCTTAAATCCTGGGAATTGCGGGGTGTCCGCTGGTTCAGGGAGGGCTGGGGTCTGATTTCCTCTTCCCTCCTGGTTTTCCCATCCCATCCCAGCCCTGGCTTGGAAAAGGGAGGTGGAGGAATGGGAGGGAATTATGGATAAGCCTCGTTAATCACTGGCTAATTAAAATGAGGAGGTGTTCGTGTTGTTACCAGCTCTTTGAGGATGCTGGGGATATTCCAGAGGGGGATGGAGCCGCTGGATCCCAAGAATCCGCTCCTCCGGCTCCATCCCGAGCTCCCGTTCCACTCGGATCTGCCGCCGCTTCCAAGGGCCATCCCTAAAAGGATGAGGATGGGTTGGATTTTGGGGACATGGAAAGGGGGAAAATCCATCCTCAGCTGAGGCTGCCCCACCCTGGGATTTGTCCAAGCTTGGAGAAACTTGGGATGAAGGGAGGAGCTCCTGCCCATGGAACGGGATGAGCGTGAAGGTCCCTTCCAATCCAATTCCAGAATTCCATTGGTTTGGAGTCAGATTTTTGGGAAGCACTGGGAGACGAGAAATCCAGGAATGAGAGCAATGGGCGATCTCTGTGAAGAAATCCTGGATTTCCGTTTTGGAAGGAATTTTTTTCCTTTTGGAAGGAATCCAAAGGGGAAGATGTGGAAGGGGCTCCCTGAGGTGCTGGGATTTCTTGGAAGGCTCCATCACTCCAAGGCTTTTCCTTGGGACATTCACACCCATTTAATTCCCAGGAACCCCCGAGGGATTCCGGCCTCTTGTGCTTCATCCCTGGCCATTCACATGGAGTGCCCGGCAGCGTCTGTGGGCAGAGATCCCCACAGAATGCCGAAAAGGGCTGGAAACGGGATTTTTGTCCAGCATCCCACACTTCCAGGGCTGGAGCAATTCCTGCCTCATCCCTGGGAGCTCTTTTGTGATTGGAAGCGCCGAGCTCGTTCCGATGTTCTCCTTTATGGACGCACAACTCCCGATTTCAAAGGATATTTCTTTTATCCCTCCCTTCCCCCTCTCCTCCCCCCGCTTCCCTTTTCCCTATTTTTTAAATCCCCCTCAAACCGGACGGCGCCAGAATTCCCAGCGATTGCCAGCAAAAATATCCTCTCCTCCCCAGGGTTGCCGTCTAATCAGAGGGATGAATTTCCAGAGGGCTGAATCCGAGCCGGGGGAGGCCTTCCCGGCTTTCTCCGGAAAAATCTCGGATTGAAAAGAGCAAAGGGGAAGCGGAGCGCGGCTGAGAAGGCAACGCTGATAAAGGGATGACAGAAATTTGGGATGGGCTTCTCCTTTGGAGCCCTTTCGGAAGAGCTCTTCCCGCCCAGCCGTTCCCGTCACCGCCGCTTTGTTCTCCTCGGTCAATCCCGAAAAAAAAAAACCCCAGGGATCCGAGGGAGGCTTGGGAGCAGCGCTGACACCTCGCAGTTGTTCCCTGTCGGGAAGCGAAGGGAAGGGGAGGATGAGGGATGGGATTCGCGCGTCAGCCGCGGCCGAGCAGCGGGGTCCGGACGGCTCCATCTGGATTCCTGCTTGATTTTCCAGAGCCTGGCTTTGTTTTCCCGGTTTTCCCCCTCCCCTCCACGCATCCTTGGCCGGCTCCTGTGGGGACTCGGCATCTGTTTCCCTCTCCCTCTTCCCTCCTTGTTTTCCGCAACTTCTGGGTTTGGTTTTGCTCTGGATTTGAGCAGGGATGCTCCTGGAACATTCGGATTTTTCCCTTTCCCGCCCCTTCCAGGCCCAGCTGGGGCTCCGGCATCGGCTCTCCGTGGGATCCTCATCCCAGCAGAGCAATAAATCCTGGAGCTCTGTCTTTTCCATGCAGGAAAAGCTCGGGAGCATCCCTGTGGTGTTTTTAGGGACCAAATATCGGGATTTAAAGCCCAGCCAAGCCAGAATTCCCAGGAATAGAGGCAGAAGCTGCTCCCAATGCCAGCTCCGAGTGGTTTTCCAGCACGTGGAGGGAGCAGAGAGGGGAAAAAGTTCCCATTTTGGGGTTGGTTTTATTTTGGCCGCCCAGAAGATGGGATTGGAGAGAGATTTCCTTGGAAAAATGTTTGGATGCATGGGTTTGCTGCGTGGGAGTGGCCGGGGCCATCCCAAACTTGGGTCTCTCGGAAATGAAAAATCCACCAAAAATCAGGGAATGGTTCAAACACCCCCAAAAGCCTTGGCTGGACTGGGATGGGGATGGATCCCTTTCACAGGGAAGTGCACCGGGCTGGGAGGGAATAATGTAGGGAAAGGGATGGAAAACACCTGGAAATGCTGCATTGGGAAATCCTGGATCCCACGGACAGAAAGGAAAATCCAGTCTTTGCTCTGGACAGGGATGGGGATGGTTCCTCTTCCCATGGGAACTCAGGGTCTGGAAGGGAATAATGTGGGGAAAGGGATGGAAAACACCTGGAATTGCTGCATTGGGAACTCCTGGATCCCATGGACCAGAGGAAAAACCCAATTCCCACTGCGATTGAACTGGGATGGGGATTGTTCCGTTCCCCACGGAAACGTGCAGGTCTGGAAGGGAATAACACAGGAAAGGGGCTGGAAAACATCTGGGAATTCCTCTCTCTGAACTCCTGGATCTCCACGGACAGGAGGGAAAATCCAATCTTTGCTCCAGCTTTGTCCCGGCTCTCTTTAATCTCCCGTTGATCCGGGGGCAGGCGGGAGCCGCGATCCCAGCCGGAGGCTCCGTGGAAAGGCAGAGCTTTTCCGCACGCACGGAGGCTCCATCCCCATCTCCTTGGGGCGGATCCAAGGATTTGCTCATCCCCCCGTCGGTTTTCCGTGCCTGTTGCTCATCCCGGCCTTCGGAAATGTCAAAAGCCGAGCGAGGGGAATCGGGGCAGCTGGAGAGACCTCGGCTGCCCTTCCTCCCTCCCTCCCTCCTTCCTCCTCCTCCCGTTCCTGCCTTTTCCATCGGCACAGCCCCGAATCCAAGGGGCCCTGGCGCAGCCTTGGCAATCGCAGGGATTTAATCCCCGCTTTAGGAACAAAAATAAACCCTGGATGGGCAGGGAGAGGCCGGAAAGGCGCCGGCCCCACGGACCGGGAATGTTGGCCAGGATTTGGGTGAGGAAAACCAGGATTCCGGGATGCAACATCAAAATTCCCACACTCCAAGCATCATTTGGGGCTGAAAAGGGATTTAACCTGCCCCCAGAAATTCCCAAAATGCCACTTTTTTCCCCCCCATATTTCCTTGTGCAGAGCTGTTCCCTCAGCCCCCCAAAAAGCAGCGCAAAACGGGATTTTCCGGGTTTTTTTTCCCGGTGTTCAATATTCCAGGCCACGCTGCCCTGCTGCCGCAGCCGGCACGTGTTCCCGGAGCGTGTTCTCCCGCAGGTCGTGCCTGGGATTTATGGCACAAACACCTCCGAGTTGTTTTACAAGGAATGCTGAGCCTCGGATCACCGCCCGGGAGGCACAAAAAAATTCCTGGGAATTCACCTTCTCCCCTCTCAGGGGGAAATCTCTGATTTCCAGCCCCGTTTCCAAAGCTGCTCCTGTTTCCCGGACTTTTTCCCGGCTGTTTTTCCTCCTGGTGTGAGGAGGGATTAAAAAACAAATGAAAAAATTTGGAATTTGGAGTGGATGAGGAGTTGTTTTTGGGATGTCCGGGTGTCAGACAGGGAAGGATGCCGAGGAAAGGCCAGGCAAATCCTTGCTCATCAATTCCCAACTGCGGCGGGAAAGGCAGGAAAATAAACCAGGAATGCAATTCCCTGCTCCTGATTTCCCAACAAATCCAGGGAAAAGAGGGAGAAAAGGGATGGATGGATCACCCCCGGCTCCCATTCTTCCCTCTGGCTCGAGGATGGATTTGGAATCCGGCTGTGAGGAGCTGGAATCCCGGATGGGGATGGTTCATCCTCTGGGGAAGCTGTTGGAGCCATTCCCATCGGGAATGGAGAATTTGGGAAGTTTTCTGGAAGCACAGGGCAGGGAATGGGGAGAGACAACGGAGGCCAAGGCAAAGCCAGCAGTTTGGGGGGAAGCACGGGAATTTGCAGCGGGATTTTGGGAATTCAGGAAGGATCTCCTTCAATTTGGACTTTCTGGGGATCCTTGGGGGTGACCCAAATCAATCCCCATGAGGGGACTCAGCAGGGCTTTCCCTGGCGTTAATCCCTAAAATTCCTGGGAAACATCGATTGAATTCCCGCTCCAAACTTCCCTGGAGCTCATCTCTCTTTTCCTGCCCCTTTTTTTCCCACTTTTCCAGGTTACCTGACCGTCAGCATCGAGCCCCTGCCCCCGGTGGTGGTGGGAGACGCCGTGACCCTGAAATGCAACTTCAAAACCGACGGGAAAATGCGGGAGATCGTCTGGTACCGGGTGAGCTCCGACGCCTCGGGAATGGGAATGCGGAGCCTCGGGAACAGAAGGTCAAGGCTGGATGAGGCAGGAAAAGCAGACGGAGCTCCGGCTGATGGGAATATCAATTCCAGGGAGGAAGGAGGAGGCCTCGGAAAGTGCGGCTGGGAGGGAGGCGGGATGGATTTGGGATGGTGGTGAGGGCTCCGGGTGGATTTTTCCAGGTGTTTTGGGGTGGATGCCAGCTGGATTTAGGGATGGCTTGGCTGGGATGGGATTTGGAGGTGGGAACTGAGCTTGGCACCGCTCTGCCACGAGCTCAGCAGGCGGGAAATGATGGGAAAAGGGGAAGAATCAGGAAAATTTGGGATATGCGGGATTTGGGGCTCTTCGTGTAGAGCTTTGGAAAAGAAAACTTTCCCTGTTCCCAAAATCTTTGGGAATCTGGGATGTTGAAAAAGAGGGAAGCTCCTGGTTTTATTTGTGGATGGGGGAATTTGGACCCTGGTTTTATTTGGGAAAGGGGAATTTGGAGGCCAGGATTATTTGGGAAAGGAAGGATTTGGATGTTGCTTTTATTTGGGAAAGGGGAGCCTCATCCCATGGTTTCATTTGGGAAAGGGGGGATTTGGAGGATGGAGCTGCCCCTGGATCATCATTCCCAAGCCTTGATCCAGCCTCAGCTCCACCAATCCTGAGCTTTCTCCAGAGAAATTTGGGATAAGCTGCCAACCACAAATGGCTTTATCCAAGGAAACCTGAGGTTTTCCAGGGAAAACTCCTGGAGGAGGCAAAGACAGCCCTGGGTGGTGCCAGATGGAGCAGCTGGGAATATTTTTCCTTGGATTTCCCATCCTGTCCTGAACAGGGAGCTTCCCTAATGCTCCCCTCCATCCCCAGGTTTATAAACAGGGAAAGGATGGATACAAATCCGGCTGTTGGAAAGTGCTGAGTGCACAGGAACATTTCCACGGAATCCGGGATGGTTTTTCCTATCATTATTCACAGACAGATCCCTAAATTCCGGGCAGGGGATTCAGGCAGGGAACAGAACCCAAAACCTGCCCCGAACCCAAAATTCCAGCTTGGGATCAGCTTCATCTCCCTCTTATTTTAGCCAGGAATTTTTTTTCTGCTGGTGCCACCATCTCCACCAGGTTTTCCCTTCCCTTTTCCACTCGGTAATATTGGATTAACCCAATTTCCCGGGAGCTGGGGCTGGATTTGCATAATCCCCCCTGCGAGGATGGATGCAGGAGCGGCTGCTGCTCCGGAGCGAACGATGCTCCGAGAAACCTCGGAGGGAAAGGGAAGGGTGAAAATATCCCAGCTTTTCTTTTTATCCCCAGAAATCTCCCCTTTCTCCCAGAGTTTTTCACCCCTCCTTCCCTCTTGCTCCTTTCCCAGGGAGCTTCCCGGGTTTGGGAAGTCAGGATTTTTGTGGAGCGTCTCAGGATTTACCGAATTCCTGATTTTAAGGTTTTCCCCCTGGTTTTTCTCCCTGTCTTGTCTCACTCCCGGATTTTTGCAGCTTCCCAAAGCTCCAGTGGCATCTCCAGGGTGTTGGAGGTGATGGATGGATCCGCGAGAGCCGGGGCGGAGCCACTGGAGCTGCGGAGTTCAATTTATTCCGCTTGTAAATCGCAGGAATGTGGCTGGATTGGGGTCACGCCGGGTTCCTCTTTCCCGGGATTTATTGGACAGGAAGCAGAGGGAGCTCCGGGAGTTTGAGGGATCGGAGCTGCTCCAGGGGCAGGGAAAAGGGGAGAGAGGGGAAAAGTCAAGGGCGGCACCTTGGTGGGGAATGGAGTTGGGAATAACCCACGGGATGGGGGTGGGTTATTGATCCCATAACCCATGGGATAAATCCATAACCCCTGGGATGGATCCATAATCCATGGGATGGATCCATAACCCACGGGATGGATCCATAACCCTTGGAATGGATCCATAACCCCTGGGATGAATCCATAACCCTTGGAATTGATCCATAACCCCTGGGATGGATCGATAACCCATGGGATGGATCCATAACCCTTGGAATGGACCCCTAACCCCTGGGATGAATCCATAACCCTTGGAATTGATCCATAACCCCTGGGATGGATCCATAACCCTCAGGATGGATCCATAACCCATGGGATGGATCCATAACCCCTGGGATGAATCCATAACCCTTGGAATTGATCCATAACCCCTGGAATGGATCCCTAACCCCTGGGATGGATCCCTAACTCCCGGGTGGATGATCCCGTCGGGATCCGTGCACTCCGAGGCCGAGCGGCCTCATCCCAGGGATGAAACCCCACGGAGAAGCCCCACACTGCAGCCGCAGCCGCAATTCCAGCAATTCCCCTGGATCCCCCAGGACAGGGACAACCCTTTCCTCCCAGCGGGAAACCCCTGAGCCGCTGGAACGCCGCCAATTTCAGCATTCCTGGGATAAGCAAAGGGAATTTTTTTCCCGGAATAAACAGGAACACATCCCAAGAGTGAAGGCGTTAATTAACATCCAACAATCCCAACACCTCTGGAAGGTGCGATGTTCCCGGGAACAGGTGCGAACGCGGATCCGAGCCTGGAGAGCTCCCAAAGAAACCTCGGCAGGAGAGGGGGGGTGGCGGAATCCTCTCGGAATGAGGCCGGGAACAGCCTGGAGCTGCTCCTCAATTCCCGGGAGCTTTCCACGATAACGAGTTTTCCCAGTAGATTCTCCAGGGAATGGGGAGGAAAAAACCTGGAATTTTCCAGGATGAGCAGTTTTTCCCATTGGTTGTGATTCTCCGGGGAATGGGCAGGGAAAAGTGAAACCAGGAGTTTTCCAGGATAAGGAGTTTTTCCAGGGAATGGACAGGAGAAACCTAAATCCGGAATATTCCATGATAACGAGCTCTTCCCGGTGGTTCTGATGTGGACACTGTGCCCCAGCCCCAAACACCCGGAGCGCTCCAGGGAATTTTCCCTCTTTCCAGAGCAATTTCCATTTGCTTGGAGAAAGGGAATCCATTGATCCATCCTCGGGACACGGAGCCTGGATTGGATCCCAATTCCAACCCCTTCATCCCGCATCCATCACTTCCCAACGATTTTGGATCCTTTGGGCATCCTGGCGGGAGGCTCTGGAGCTTTTAATGGATTTTGGGAACAGCAAAAGTTCATTTGAAGGGATTTTGGGATTTGTTTGGGTCACTGTGGAAGGGAGGGTGGCAGGCGGGAGCTCCCTCTGGAATGGCTGAGTTTTGGTCGGGAATGGGATTTTTCCTGGGCTTTATGAATAATGCAGGAAGCGGCGCCTGGAATGTTCTCCTGTGCCCCTTCTCCCAAAACTCCTGGATGTGGAGACATCCCCTGGGACAGGAACCATGGGATGCTGCTCAGTTATCCTCCTTTTTTAATTCCCAGCAGGAAGCATTGGCTTGCAAATTCCTGCGGAGCTTCTCTTCCCAAAAAATTCCCCCGAGCATGGATAAAAGGCTGGAATTAGGGATGATTTGGGATGGAGTAGGGATCCAAATCCAAAGAAAAACAAGGAAAAAACCCTTGGAAACTTCCCTGGAAACTTCCTGGGGCCAGAGATTTACAACCCTCACCGTTTATCCCTCTTTTCTTTATCCCACATCCGTGCCAGAGTGGAATTTCTTTCCCATAAAAGTCTCAGACTGGGATAATAAATTGGAAGAGATTTTTTAGTGGCCGATTTTTTTTCCCGCTCCTTTTCTGCCATAAAAAAAGCAGGAAAAGGGGAAATCAGGAATAACAGCGGAATTTTGGCCAAGTGTTGGGTGGGGATTTGGGGTTTTGTCCTCAGGAAATTCTGAATTTGAGGATTAAATCCCAAAATCTTCTGCTGCTGGTTCTGGTTTATTTTAAAAAATGGGAATTTTCGCTCTCTTCTGGGAGCCAGTTTAGCCCCAAAATTTCCATTTTCCTCCTTATTTTTCCACTAAAACTCCTCCTCAAAACAGGGAAGATCAATCCAGAGATGCTGGGAGGCACAGGGAATAAACAAGTCCTAGAAAAAGCCATTTTGCATTTTAAAACAACAATTCCCAGCTAGAAAATGGAAAAACAGGATGGAAAATGTGGATTTCATCTCAGCAGGGGCAACATAAATCCAGAAATTCTGAGCTGAAAGATGCTGGGATCCTGTGGATAAAGATGGAAACCGTGAAATAATAAAAATTTTAAAATAAAAAAACCTGAAAATAAAATTCTAACGGAAGTATTTAAATGCACCATGTTAAGGTATTAAATACATTTAATATTTAATAATTAAATTGTATTCTTATTAATTAATCACATTAAATACATGAAAAATGTATTTCATATTTAATCGAGATTAAAATTCCAAGAACTTTATTCAAACCTAAATAAATATCCAAATACCAAAAATAAAAATGATATTAAAATGCCAATCAGATAGATACAGATTGAAATAAGTACATTAAAATTTAAACAAATCTATTCAAATCTCAATTTATTCAAAGTCTCCCAATAAAACCCCTTTGAAATATTCCAAAATGGGCTCAAAATTCCCAAATTTGGGACACCGGGATTACTTCCTGCAGGTCACTGACGGCGGCACCATCAAGCAGAAGATCTTCACCTTCGATGCCATGTTTTCCACCAACTTTTCCCAGATGGAAAACTACCGGAAGCGGGAAGACCTCGTTTACCAATCCACCGTGCGGTGAGTCCTTTTTCCCTATTAATGCAAATTTTTAGGATTTTTTTTCCTTATTTTTGGCCCCATTGAAAAGATTCCAGCAGAACCCGCCTCTATCCAAGGGGTTTTCCCGTTTTCCTGATGATTCTCAGGGAATAGGTGGGAAAAATGGGGATTTTTGGAGGTGGGAATGGGGAGAAAAGTCCGAAGCTTGGGAAAATCGGGGAAAACAGATCCATATTTATTTATAAAACAGGCACGGGAGCATCTCCTTGCTTTTATTCCAAGTGGGAATCACTTCCAGAATTCCAGGTTTATTCCTGATTCCACACCTGCTCTAAAACTGACACTGGAGCTTGGAAAAAAGGTCAGGAGAGGCTTCATCCAAGGGGAAAAAAAACCCTGGGATGAAATTCTCCTTCCTCCCGGTTTCTTTCCATCCTCGTTTCCTTGGGAAATGAGAATTTCCTGATCGGATTTTCCCAGTGGGAAAAAGTTCCGGGGAAAAAGGCGAGGAAAAGCTTCCCTGGGCTCCAGCGTGTTTTCCTCCCTTTCTCCACACCTTGTAGAACGAATGGAATTTGGGAGCAGAAAATTCCCGCCCCAGCACCAGGCACATGAGAGCCTCGGGAATCGTTGGGAAATCAGGCGTGGAGCCGGGAGATGTTGGTGGGGAAAGGGTTTTCAAGCCATGGCATTTTTTTTCCGAGGAAAACAGGATCTGGCCTGAGGAGATCATTCCCAGAGCTGGTTTCCTAGGGATTGTTTTTTTTGGGGAAATCCTGACTGATTTGGGGCTTTCCCGAAGAATTGGGGCAAGCCCGGGAAGGGTTTGGGGATGGATGAAGGGTTTCCCACTCCAGGCTTTTGTTCTTCTTAATTCTCCTCCCGTTCTCCATCTATTTATTTCCTCTTTTTTTTGGGAATCTTTGCCGTGGTTCGGGCACAGCTGGAGCTTTATCCCGGGAGGAGCCGTCCTTATCGGCATTATCCTGATCCTTTTTCAGCGTTATCCTGGTCCTTATCAGCGATATCTCTGTCCTTGGTCCTTACCGGCGTTATCCCGGTTCCTTATCAGCGTTATCCCAGTCCTTGGTCCTTATCAGTGTTTTCAAAGTGGAGCTGGTGCTATCAGCCTTATCCTGATCCTTATCAGGGCTATCCCAATTCCTTATCAGTTTTATCCCAATTCCTTATCAACGTTACCCCAGTTCTTTATCAGCGTTTCCCCAATTCCTTATCAGTTTTATCCCAATTCCTTATCAGCGTTATCCCAGTTCCTTATCAGCGTTATCCCAGTTCCTTATCAGCGTTATCCCGGTCCTTATCAGCGTTTTCCCGGTCCTTATCAGCGTTTTCCCGCTTCACTGGGAATTTGGGATTTGCTGCTTTTCTCCCCATTTTTGCTGTGCTGGGGAGGCCCAGCAGGGCAAGTGCCGAGGTTTTCCAAGGTTTTCCATTGGCACTCTGTGGGCGGATGAATTCCATGGCCATGGATTTGTGCTCCCATCCGCGTCTCCTTCCAATAACAAAATTCCTTCCCCACGGAGGAGCTGTCAGTGCCGGGGAATTCCGGCTGCTAAAGCATTCCCGAGCTCCTCCCGCAGCCTTTGGAATTATTAAGAGTTTATTGATCCCTGTCCGGGTGCTGAATCCCGCGGGAAAACGGGATGGGGATGGGGTGAGCACTGTCCCTCCTCCGCAGCCTTCCCGAGGTCCGGATTTCGGACAACGGTCCCTACGAGTGCCATGTGGGGATCTACGACCGAGCCACGCGGGAGAAGGTGGTGCTGGCCTCCGGGAACGTGTTCCTGAATGTGATGGGTGAGCGCCGGATCGGGATCCAGGGAAAACCACAGCAGGGTCTCAGGGAGTGGGAACAGCAGGGATCGGGATTGGGATCGATGTGGCATCCTCAGGGGTAGGAATGGGATGGGGATGGGGATATGGGATGGGGATATGGGATGGGGATGGGGATGGTGTAGGAAAAGGGATGAGGATGCCCATGGATTTGATGATGGGGATGGAGACGTGGATAGGGACCAGGACAGGGATATGAGTTGGGATAGGAAGAAGAATGGGGAATGGGATGAACATGAGGAAGAGGATGGCCATGGGAATGGGTGTGGGGATCGGGATGGGGAGAGGGAGAAGGAGGAGGAGGAGGAGGATCCCACAGGGATAAATTTGGGGGTGGGCAAAGGATGGGGATGAGGACAGGACAAGGACAGGAATTAGGGCAGGGAATGGATTGAAGGTGGGGATGGGGATGGGAGCAAAGATGGGCATGGGAATGGGAACAAGGATGAGGATGGAGATGAGGGTGAGGATGAGGATGAAGGATGAGGATGGGATGGGGGTGATTGAGGACTCCATGCTGACCTCCCGGCTCTGCCCCGGCAGCTCCCCCAACGTCCATCTCGGTGCTGGCCGCGGACACCCCGGCACCCTTCAGCCGCTACCAGGCACAGAACTTCACCCTGGTGTGCGTGGTGTCCGGCGGGAAGCCCGCGCCGCTGGTGAGCTCCCGGCGGGATCACCCCTCCCTCCAACACATGGAATAACCAAACCTCATCCTCCGTAAAACCCACCAGATCCATGTGCCGCTCCCCAAATCCCATCTCTCCACGGAGAGACGGCAGGAGGGAATTCCATCCAAAGGGATGCTGGGGACATCCCAGACGCACTCAGCGTCCCCTTTGTCCCCTCCAGGTGTACTTCAAGCGGGACGGGGAGCCCATCGAGGCCACCCCACTGCCGGAGCCGCCGGCCGGCGCCAGCAGCTGGGCCCCCCGCAACCTCCTGCACCGCGACCTGGATGACACCAAACTGCCGAAATCCCTGGCAGCCGATGGCGAGCCGGGAATGGGAAACCCCTTCCCCACGGCGGATCCGCCACGGGGGCTGGCGGCCGAGCGGGATTCGGTGACGGAAAGCATTCCCGAGACGGTGGTGAGCCGGGAATTCCCGCGTTGGGTGCACATGGCAGAACCCATCTATTACTTCCGGCACACGCACGCGCCTGTCAGCGACGGCACCGTCGAGGCCCGCGCCACCCTCACGTGGACCCTGAACCCCCAAATCGACAACGAGGCTCTGTTCAGCTGCGAGGTCAAGCACCCGGCGCTCTCCATGCCCATGCAGTCCGAGGTCACGCTCGGTAAGCCGATGGATTTGGGGCTTTTCCCGGCTTTTTGGTGCTTTTGTCCATTTTTTTCCTCCATTTTTTGGCTTTTCCCCCTCCATTTTTTTGCCTTTTTTTCTTCATTTTTTGCCTTTTTAATATTTTTTTTCTTTTTTCGCAATTTTCCCCTGTTTTCGTTTTTTTTTTCATTTCTGTTTTTGGCTTTTCTCTCAATTTTTTGGATTTTATTTCTTTTTTTTTTTTATTTTTCTTTCTCCACCCCAGTCCCAGGAGATCCAAAGACATCCCATGACCCTTACCAGCCACTACAAAGCTCAATCCAATGGGAATTTCCAGGGAGGGAATTCCCGAGTTGGCTCCAGCCCGTGGAGCTGTGACAGGTTGATGGGATTGAAGCCAGGGAATTTGGCTCCCCACATTCCCTGGGAAGAGCAGAAGCTCCTCAGGTGACCGTGGGATCCATGGATCCTTCACCATCTCCTGCCTAGGGCTCCCCTCCCCTCTCCTGGCTCCTGCTGGAAAAGGCTGAGTTCTCCACGGGGTTTTCCAGCCTTGGGACATCCCTCTGGAAACGCTCCCGGGCCAGGTGGAGCAGCCTGGGCTTTGCTCCCGGCCAAGTGGAGCACTTGGCTCCTCACCATCTCCTGGAGAGCTTCTCCTTGGCTTCCCGACGTCTTCGCTTTTCATCTCTTCCCCAGCATCCAAAACCTGTGGAAATCCTGTGCTTTCCCACTTCCTGGAGCTCTTCGGGTTTTGATCCAAGGCCAAGACCTCGTGGCTTTGCTGCTCTCGCCCAGGAGGTCCAAGACCTGGACTGGCAAAGCTCAGCCCACATTGTCGCCTGTCCCCAAATCCAGGGATTTCATCATCCCTGGAAGAAGCTCCTTAGGTGCCCATCTACTCCCAGTTTTTGGGCGCCATCCCAGCAGATCACCGTTAACCCCTTCCCTACATCCACAGTAGAAACACACGCTATAAAGAGATATAAAATATACATTTCCCAATAAAAGAGAAGATATTCCCGATAAAAGCTGCCTTAAACCCAACACCAACCCAAAAGCTGCCTTCTGTCCTCAGCCAGGGCGTGGTGGGATCATCTTCAGCGCATCCCACCCGGTCCTGCTCCAGAGGGGCACATCCCGCATGGAAAGGGCCATCCATGGATGGTGGGGTGTCCAGGAAGGGATGGCCATTCCAAGGGCTTCCAGTGTCCTCCACCAGAACCTTCTGGTGGTTCTTTGTCCCTCCATGTTCTGCTGGGGTCATGTCCAGGTCCATTTTTGTCCCATCCGGGAAAAAGCTTGGCTGGACAAAGGTGACCCAGCCAAAGCACATTTCCCCTCCTCCTTCCATGAAAGTCCAGGAAGCTCCTGGGATGTCCCGTCCCACTTCTGGTCCAGCAGGGACATCCACACAGTGCCAGGTGGAAGCAGGAGCAGATCCTGTGTGGTGTCCCTCCATAACGATGGAGGAGAATCCCTAGTCTGGAAAAGGGATTCCCGATTTTTTCCGCGCTGTCCATGGGATTTTGTGCCAGCCAGGCTTTGGGGTTGTCTCCTGTGCTAACGGCACCTGAGTGAGACTCACCAAAGACCACATTTTTTGGGAATGGTCCTCTGAGGTGTCCATCTCCGTGTCTTCAAACCAACCTGATCCTTCTTGGCCATTTTTTCCGAGCGGAGAAGGTCTTGGTTGGGAAATAACTCCTTCCCATCAATCCATCCCATCCCAGCCATCCATCAGCCTCACGCTTTTCCCGCTCTCCCGCCTGGGGGGTCTTTCCCTCCGTGTCCATCCATCATTCCGATCTCACTCAGCCCGGCCATCAATCACGGAGCCGTCGCCCCTCGCCGGGATCATCCATCAAAGCCTCGTTAACCCCTCCAAGGGCAGCCCCAGTGCCGGGAACGTCGCGTGGCGCTGACGGCTCTTCCTGTCCCCTTCCCGTGCAGTTGCTCCCAAGGGTCCGAAGATCACCATGACCCCAACGAGGGCGCGCGTGGGGGACACCGTGCGGATCCTGGTGCAGGGATTCCAGGTCAGCATTCCCACGGCTGCGGAGGCCAAGGGACAGCCTCGATCCAAGGATTTACGGGCTTGGTGCGGTGGCATCACAGTCCCTACGTTGGGATGGGTTGGCTGAAGTTGTGGCTGTTCCATCCTGGAAGTGTCCAAGGACAGGCTGGGTGGGGCTTGGAGAGCTCTGGGATAGAGGAAGGAGTCGCTGCCCGTGGCAGGGGGTGGGGATGGGAGGAGTTTAAAGGTCCCTTCTAACCCAAACTCAAACCTAAACCCAGACTCAGACCCAGACCATGTTCAAAGCCAAATCCAAACCCAAACTCAAATCCAGACTCAGAGCCAGACCTGAACCCAGACCCAAACTCAAGCTCAGATTCGTTACCTAAACCCAAACCAAAACTGAAACCTGAACCCAAAGCCAGACCCAAAGCCAGACTGAAGCTCAGACTCAAACCTAAACCCAAACTCAAACCCAAACCCAAAAGCAGACCCAAACCCAAACTCACACTCAAACCCAAAAGGAGACCCAAACCCAGTCTCAAACCCAAATCTAAACCCAAACCAAAAACCCAAACCCAAATCTAAACCCAACCCCAAGCCAGATTTGATGATTTCAACTCCAGGTTTATTCATCCCCGCTCCCCTCTCACCCCCGCCCTCCCTGCAGAACGAGGTGTTCCCAGAGCCGCTGTTCACCTGGACGCGGGTGGGGAGCCGGCTCCTGGACGGCAGCGCCGAGCACGACGGGAAGGAGCTGGTTCTGGAGCGGGTCCCGGCCGAGCTCAACGGCTCCATGTACCGCTGCACCGCCCAGAACCCGCTGGGCTCCACCGACACCCACACACGCCTCATCGTCTTCGGTACGGCCCCAGCGCAGCCTCGCTCTGCCCCCCGAGGGTCCTCACCCCGCTTCTCCCCACCTAAAATTGTCTCTCTGCTGTTTGTTTCCTGTTAGAAAACCCGAATATTCCCAGAGGACCAGAAGACTCCAACGGTGAGCGGTGCTGGTGGCACTGGGATTTCCATGGAAGTGCTCGGGAAGGGCAGGATGGAGCTGGCCTTAGCCCAGACCCTGGGCTACCTCTCCTTGTCTTACTCCAAACCCTTTCCCATCTCCTTGCCCCATTCCCAGCCCTCTCTGGTGTCCTCAGGAATATCCTCTCACCAAAAGGGGCCCTGCAGACCCTCCCACCCCATCCCTCATCTCCCCCCGACCCCACCGGGGGAAGTTTGGGGAGGGACTGATGCCCCTGTCCAGCTCTGAACCCCAACACCGGGATGCGGCTCCATGAGCTCCTGATCCCTTTTCCCTCCTCTCCAGGTTCGCTTCCCGGCCATCGCGGCTTCAGACTGGTTTTGGCGCTCACCCTGACAGTGATCCTGGAGCTCACGTGAAGCTTCACTGCCTCTTCCTTCTCCTCCTCCTCCACCTCCGTCCGGCTCCTCTCGGCATTCCCGCCTCCAGCCATCCCACTTTTTTTTTTTCTATACTCTCGACAGTCTCGGTCTCTTTCCGTGTCTTGGCTTCCTCAGATGATTGAATTAAAGGGAAAAAGGAAAACCTCTTCTGGGAGAAGGTCGTAATTTGTGTTTTGCCCATTCTCAGCACCGTGGTGGCGTTCCCAGCTCCATCTCGGGGTTCCCAGATCTCTCTTAGAATTCCCAGCTCCATCTCAGGATTCCCAGCTCCATCTTGGGATTCCCAGTTCCGTCTCGGGGTTCCCAGGTCCATCTCAGGGTTCCGAATTCCATCTCGGGGTTCCAAATTCAGTCTTGGGGTTCCTAGCACCATCTCGGGGTTCCCAGTTCCGTCTCGGGGTTCCCAGGTCCATCTCAGGGTTCCAAATTCAGTCCTGGGGTTCCTAGCACCATCTCGGGGTTCCCAGTTTTGTCTCGAGGTTCCCAGTTCCATCTTGGAATTCCCAGTTCCATCTCGGGGTTCCCAGCTCCATCTCAGGGTTCCGAATTCCATCTCGAGGTTCCGAATTCCATCTCGGGGTTCCAAATTCCGTCTCGGGGTTCCCAGCTCCATCCTGGGGGCTTTGCCAGCTCTTGGAAAGGGGGGGAGCAGGAGGATTTGAGCATTCAAGGACCAAACTTTCCCTGGAAAAACCCAAGTGCAGCATTCCCACCTCCCCGAGACCCTCCAGGCCTCGTCTCCGCGGGTCGAGGACCCTTGAGCATCCCCAGGCCTCCCGAGGAGCCCGAAAGTCGTGGATCACTGGGTTTATCCGGTGGGATTCCGGAGTCGGGGAGCTGAGGAATGACAAGTGACAGGCGGCTCCCGACCCCAAATGTCAGCGCTCACACTTGAGCGGGCACCGGGCCCCGCTGTCCCCATGGAAACGGGCTGGATCTGGCCATTCCCAGGATCCCCCATCCCGGGATGGCCTCGATCCCGCGGCTCGACGCCTCCTGGAAAAATCCAAATGGGTTTTTTTTTGCCTCCATCCTGGATTTCCAGGCTGGTTTTCCTGGTTGTGGAGCATCCGGCGGTGGGATCTCCCGGAGGGGAAAGGATCCCGAGGATGGGATGATGCCAAGTGTGAAAAATGGGGGGAAATGGGGTTAAAATAGAGGAAAATGGCATTTAAATAGTGAAAAAGGGGGGGAAATGGGGTTAAAATAGAGGAAAATGGCATTTAAATAGTGAAAAATGGGGGAAATGGGGTTAAAATAGGGGAAAATGGGAGTAAAATAGGGGAAAATGGGGAGAAACATGAAAAAGTGTGGGGAAACGGGGTTAAAACAGGGATAAACTGGGGAAACGGGGTTAAAATGGAGAAAAACGGGAGTAAAATAGGGGAAAACCGGGGAAATGGGGTTAAAATAAGGGGAGCACAGGAAAACGGCGGTAAAATAGTGAGAAATGAGAAAAAAATGGGAGAAATGGGAGTAAAATAGGGGAAAAGGGGGAAAAAGGTAAAAATAATGAGAAATGGGGAAAACGGGGAAAATTATTAATTATTATTAAGCGGATTCCAGCCCTTCCCAGCTCCGTTGCGAACCTCGCTGCTTTCCCAGCCTCGGAGGAGCCGAACGAAGCCACCAGAGCTCCTTCCCACCCCAAAATCCCGGAATTCCGTGGTTTGGATTGGGAGCGATGGGATGGGGACGGGCTGGGAGGATCAGCAGCTCCGCTAACACCCCGAAAACATTCTGGTTTTTTGGGTTTTTTTTTTAGAGGAAGCGCCGTTTCTTCAGGAATTCTCCCTGCCTCAGTTTCCCCGTGCTCTGCGGAGCCTCTCCCATGGATTCCTCATGGATCGGAGCCGCTCCAGGGGCTTCATCCCGCCAGGATTTCTCGCCTGGAAAAAAAACCCGAGCGTTTCCAGCCGCCGGAAGCTCCATTTAAATGCAAATGTGGAGGGTTTAGCCCAGAACCGTGGAAAATGAGGAGCATTCCCGGAGCTGTGGAAACGAGGAGCGGTTCCAGCGGGCGGGATCCACCCCGGGCAGCTCTGGGATGTCCCGATCCAGCAGCTGGGACGGGAACGCCGGGTTCTCTGGATCGGCATCCCAAACCCACCCCAATTCGGGATGCTCCGGGGAAAAAAAAAAAAAAACCACTCTTGGAAAATCCCTTTTTTCAGGGATTCTGGCGTGGATGGATCAGCCAAAGGTTGGGGATCTTCCAGTCACAGAGTGAGGGGATTTGGGAGTTTCTCCTCATTTTTGGGGGTGGCAAAGTTGCTGACTGATTTCCTGAATTCCTCCCAAAACCGGGGACACAATTCCATCCCAGAATCCCAGAATGAATCCCACCAAAAGGGAACCACCCGCGCTGCTCTGGACCCCTCTTCACCTCCTGCCCCTTCCTCATCCTCTCCCTGCGGGAGGAGCCGGGTGAACCCCCCCTTTCCTCCCCTTTTTTCCCCATTTCCCCCCATTTTTCGCTCCTTTTCCCCCCATTTCCCCACATTCCCCCCTTTCCCCCCCATTTTCCTCCCATTTTCCACCCCTTTTCCCCCCATTTCCTCCCCATTT